CTGTGGGGGCCCCCTCCCCACCGCCTCCCACCCACGGTCTGCCGGAGTGCTGTGAGCGCTGGCGCTCCGCATGGAGGATGCGTTGTGTGGGAGACCTGTCACCCCCTGCCTGCGCACTCCTTCTGAGGCTGGCTTGATGAGTTCTGTGCCTCCTTGTATGGAGTGTGTGGGCCCCCCTGTCCAGCAGAGCAGTCGGGACCCCTTTCTGACTCTGCTCACTCCACTGGACTCTCCCATGCGGTAAAGCCCTTTGCCATCCACAGGGATCCCAGTCATGGAGGGTGCACCCATGGCCTACATTAAGGATGGAGGGGAAAACTGTCCCCTCTCCTTGTGAGGATGACAGCTGCAGCCTTTGCTCCCATGCAGGCCCTCTAGAAAGTTCCAACAGCAAGGCACTTCAGCCTCTGGTGATAAATCCAAGTTGTTAAAAAGTTGGTGGGAGTGAGTCTGGGTGGACATGGGCGAGGGCATCCTCCAATTGCCTGTGGTGTCCCACGTCAGCATCCTCTCTAGGCCACGTGCCACCACCGCATTCTCTCTCCCATGGTCAAGACCCTCTGTACAAGTCAAATTCAAATAAGCACTTCCTCCCAGCCGCCTTCTAACTTCTTTCGTTCTTCTCCTAAGAAGGCCAACACATTCTCGTCTGTAAAGTCCCTGCTTTCCATTCTCCTCGTCCCTAAGCATCAGCTCCCCAGACCCTTCCCCCAACCCAGCACACAGAAGCTGCAACTCCCAAGTCTCTTCTAATGAACTGTGCATTCCTCTCACCTCTAAAATTAGCTGTGAAGGAGGCTGTTATCTCCCCACCTGACTCTGCTGTGGGTCAGAGGGAAAGGGAGGGAGCTGGGAGTCTGGACGTGGTGGGTGGGGAGGGGAGGAGAGCGGGGCGATGCTCTGGGCTGCAGTGTGCTGCTCCCACATCCGCCGTTCCTTCCTAAGCTCTCAGAGTCTTCCCTGCAGGTACCGCTTTCTTGTCCACAGCCTCCACTGGTTGTGCGGTAAAGATTCCTGTCCCTTGGCCAGGCGCGGTGGCTCATGACTGTAATTCTAGCATTTTGGGAGGCCGAGGCGGGCAGATTGCCCGAGCTCAGGAGTTTGAGACCAGCCTGGGTAACACAGTGAAACCCTGTATCTACTAAAGACAAAAGCAATTAGCTGGGCATGGCGGCATGTGCCTGTAGTCCCAGCTGCTCAAGAGGCTGAGGCCGGAGAATGGCTTGAACCCAGCAGGCAGAGGTTGCAGTGAGCCAAGATCATGCCACTGCACTCCAGCCTGGGTGACAGAGTGAGATTCCATCTTCCAAAAAAAAAAAAAAAAAAGATTTCTATCCCAGGAGCGCTGTTCCTGCGTAGGAGCAGAATGGTGTTTGTTTGTTTCAGAGGGAGTCATGCCCTGTTGCCCTGGCTGGAGTGCAGTGGTGTGATCACAGTTCACTGCAACTACAACTCCACCTCCTGGGTTCGAGCAATTCTCCTGCCTCAGCCTCCCAAGTAGCTGGGACTACAGGTGCGCACCACCACACTCGACTAATTTTTGTATTTTTCTTTTTCTTTTCTTTTTTTTTTGAGATGGAACCTTGCTCTGTCACCTAGGCTGGAGTGCAATGGTGTGTTCTCAGCTCACTGCAACCTCCACCTCTTGGGTTCAAGTGATTCTCCTGACTCAGCCTCCCAAGTAGCTGGGATTACAGGTACATGCCACCACTCCTGGCTAATTTTTTTTTTTTTTTTTTTTTTTTTTTTTTTTTTAGTAGAGAGAGGATTTCACCATATAGGTCAGGCTGGTTTCAAACTCCTGACCTCAGATAATCCACTTGCCTTGACCTCCCAAAGTCCTGGGATTACAGGCATGAGCCACCATGCCCAGCCCCCAGAATGTTGTTTTTATTCTGCTCAGAGATTATCTTTTCCCAAATCTTGAGCTATGCATCGCAAAGCCCAAGAAGGCCTCCATAACCTTTTCATTCATTCCTTCGTAAGTGCTAAGTTCTCCACCTGGTTGGGGGAGGGAGAGACGTGGGTGAGGGTATCCTTACTGCTAGTCACTCACTGCTTCGAATCCTTTGCCTTACTGGATCCCCACCCTGTGCTCTGCTTTGTGCTTGAAGCCAACAGACAGATGCTGTATACCCACCTGCCGGCCCTGGCCTCTGTGATCACGGCAGCCCCCTGTCGGGGGCTGTACCCAGAGCCTGCTGTCATGGCCGAACCATTTTGCAGATGAGGGGCTTGCAGCTGAGCCTGAACAGGGTCACACTGGTTCTTCTGGTCTCCTGAGCCTCTCCTGGGGGCTAACTAGCCCAGCCCCCAGAGCTTCGGGAACCCTGCAGCCAGAGACAAGAGATGTGAAACTCATGAGTGTTGGGAAATCGGTGAGGCTTGGGGAAGAGGAAAGGCTCCAGGCCTAAAGCAATTCACTTCCCCTTGAGCCAGCTAGCTGGTCTTTCTGAGGAATGGGCCTGTGGTTCTCTGGGGAGGGGGCCACCAAGAGTGCTGCAGCCTTTACAGAGCTTGTTCAGATTGACAACCTCACTGTCTCCTCACCAGAGGCCACAGAGAAGAAACTGCACAGGCTCTGGAGACAGACAGACTGGCTTTGAATCCCATCTTTACCGTGGGCAACTTCTGTAACATCTCAGAGCCTCAAGGGGGCAAATGGCCAAGGACGGGGGCTCTGGACTCAGGTCAACTTTGAAGAGTCCTGGATGCACCCCCTGCTTGCTGGATTCAGGGGGCAAGTAGTTCACCTCTCAGAGCCTCAATTTTCTCTTCTGTAGAGTAGGGGCAATAAGAGTGCCAACAATTAAGACAGTCGGTAAGACGTTCTTAGCTTGTGCTCCCTGGCACACAGGAAGAGCTCAGGACATTGTGTCTCTCCTGTTTCTCAACATCATCATTGTCATCCCGGTTGCTTAACTGCTTTGCCTGTCTTCTGAATGAGCACCATGGATCATCCATCTTGGCCACGATCATTAGATAATTCTTTCTAAAGGAGCTTAATATTTAGTGATACCTTCATTACAACTGCTTCTCTGTAGATTTTTCTTATCCTGAGTGGGGTGAACGTCATAAAAAAAAAAAAAAAATTAGGCCAGTCTTGGTGGCTTACGCCTATAATCCCAGCACTTTGTAATGCCGAGATGGGAGGATCACTTGAGACCGAGAGTTCAAGACCAGCCTGGGAAAGAAAGCAAGACTCCATCACCTCGAAAGTGTAAAAGTAAAATAATCAGCCGGGTGTGGTGGTGGTGTGTGCCTGTAGTCCCAGCTACTTGGGAGGCTGCAGTGAGAGGATCACTTGATTCCGGGAGTTCAAGATTACAGTAAGCTGTAATCACGCCACTGCATTCCAGGCTGGGCAACAGAGGGAGACTCCATCTCTAAACACAAACTGAAAGAAAATACAAATAAAATGAAGTAATATTACTTCTACTTTTAAGGTTGATCTGGAATGTTCCTTTCCACAGGTGACATGTGTTTTGAGAGAGAGAGAGAGGGATTGATTGATCCAGGTCAGGAATGCCCTCCCTTTTACTCCATCCTCCACGGCCCTATTTAAATCTCAGTGAATTCCATGACATCTCTGTGCTTACTCTACTTCAAAGTGATTTCTCTCTCTCTCTCTGTTCACATGGCTTTTTATTGTTCACTGCTATGCTAGTGATTTGAAAGACCAGGTGAGCTCTCTCACCAGTGATGGAGCTTTTGTACAGCAGGGCTATGATTTATACACCGTGATCAGCTACCACAAGCTCTTTGCTGTGAAGCCCTGCAAGGAACACATGGCCTGGGCCACCTTGACTGATGGCCTCAGTGCCTTCCAAGGTGAGGCCAACACTAGCTTATGTTGATAGGCCCCTTTCCAGGTGCTGGGTCTGAAGCAAAATGTGTATTTCAATTAAGCTGCCCACCAGCTTATGAGGCAGATGCATCACAGTGATGACGGGGCTCCTGGGAGTGTGTATAAGACGGAAACTGCATGGCCAAAGCTATGCTTGAAAACCCTCAGGAAGACACCACCTCAAGGACCAACATAGCATCACTTAGTGTGTGTGTGTGTGTGTGTGTGTGTGTGTGTATGTTGGATTAGATGAAGTAGTAATTTGTGTTTAGAGGCTGACATATTGCACAAATATAGTTGCTTTTATACACTGGACTCAGCCTCTGCCAATGAGTTGTTCAGTTATGAGAAATGAACGTCTGAAACTAAGAAAACAGCAGTTTCTCACCTCCTATCTCCAAGGAACGTGCTCTTTGGCTAGAATAGATGGCAGAATCAATAGAGAATAAAATACATTGTGGAAATAATCGTGAATGGAATGTACGACACTATCCATAGTAATTGTTGACTTTTTTTCTTTTTTTTTTTTTAGGTTTGTCAAGTTAAATGCATCTAAGTTTTATGTGTGTATGAAGAATCACTCTGTTTTCCTATTGTACACATAGGGAAACTGAGATCCCCAGTTTTGAAGTCCTCGCCTAAGGTTGCAGAGCGCAGAAATAGTCACATCAGAAACAGCCTTGTCTGCACAGCGCTGCACCTTGCTCAGCTCTGGGTGCCTGACTCACTCACTCCTTGAGGACCCTCTCGTGACGACTGTAAACAGGCAGCTGAAAGAATCCCGGTCTTTGATGGTGGGAGGGGAAAGTGTTTGGAAAGCATGAGAAGGCCATGCTCCAGCAGTTCACTGATGTGGGAAATTGTCTGGATTTCAGGTCAACCGTCAGGATCGATTTTGGACTGCAAAGGCCCAGCTGAGCGAGAATGCAGTGTAGACGTATGAGTGCATTCATACACACTCATATGTCTACATATGAGTTTTAAAGGAAAAATAGTCAGACTCACATTGGAGTTTAAGACCTCTTCACTGCCTCTCCAGCTCGGTTGGGGTGACTGGAGCCAGTGAGGAATTACCAGCCCTGTGGCGCTCTCTGCATCTCAAGCCCCCAGAGCGGAGCTTCCTTGTTTACTTATTTAGAGCCCAGCAGAGGAAGTGGTAAAGGAAACTAGCTGAGTCGTTTTCTGAGAAGAGACCATATTTGTTCGCAGAGGAAGCCGTTGCTTTCTGGGATCTGGCTACAGCAGAAAAGACATCAGCTCCAACAAGGGTGTTCCACAGGGTAGCTGAGAGTTGGAAGAGCCAAGAACGCCTCCGAGCGCAGGATTTGAGCTTCTCTGCGCATGGGTGCAGCGCCCATGCTCAGCTGGTGAGCTTCCTCCCGGGAGAGCAGCCATGGCACTGAGGAATGTGCCCTTTCGCTCAGAGGTCCTAAGCTGGGACCCCAACAGCCTTGCTGACTATTTCAAGAAGGTGAGCCTTGCTCTTGTGTGAGTGGTCATGCTGGTGGTGCCGTTGGTGGGCTGCACTGAGGCTTGGAGATGGATTTGGGGTAGAATGCAGGAGGTGTATAAGACAGCAGTGGAACTAACCCTATGGCAACCTTACTGGGTGAGTGAGTGCCATATAGACCATTGAGTTTTTCTGGCAATCAGCTCTGGAGAGAAGGGTGGGAGCAGGAGCCCTCAAATGAGTATGTGCCTATTATGTGCTAGGGTTTGAATTCGGGGCTTCACAGGCACTGTCCCATTTAACACTCCTTACTATCTTGTGAGGTCAGTGTTGTTATCCTCTTGGCTCAGCTGCAAAATCAGCTCAGGGAAGTGAAATTGTCCAAAGCCTAGGGACTACAGGTTATAGAGGCAAGATTCAAGTCACACCTATCTAGTTGTAAAGTCCATGCTCTGAGACACAGAGGACTGTTGTAACTGCTAATGAGATCAAGGCTACTTACTAGAAAGAAGAGATGTGGTGTCCTGGGGGCAGGAGAAAGAACAAGCAGGGTGCGAGGACTGGATAGAGGACTATGACGAGCAGTGCCAGACACGGCATTTGGGCTTTCACTACTCACGCCCCTGGGGGGTCCTCAAGCTCTTGCCTGGGGCAGAGTCTCCTTGGAGCTTTTTGAGAGTCTTATGAAGCAGGCCAGAAAACTGATATGAGCCCCAATTTATAGCTATGAAAACTGAGGCCCCTAGAGGGGAAGAGTCTCCTGGCAGTGCTGAGAGCAGAGTGTTGCTGTCTTATCTTCTGGACTTGGAGGAAAGGTTGAAGGATCCCTGTGCTTGGTCATTGGCAGGAGGGGACCACACATCTGCTTAGGCAGATCTGAGGCCACATGACTTACTTAGGGCCCGTCTACCCTGACCGTGGGACAAGATGCCTTGTGAGAGACATTTGAGCTTCTAACACCCCCATTCCTACAGGCTGGCATCAGATTCTGTTGATATTCCAGACTATCACAAAGATGAGATTATAAAACTAAGGGAGTAGAAGTCATCTAATTCAACTTCCTGTTTTTCCTGGGGAAATTGAGATTCAACGGGACCTATAGCCATACCTGGGGTCTGCACAGTTCCATGGTATTTATAGTCGCAGCTGTTCTCCTCCAACCTAAAGAAGAAAATGGAAACATGTTGAACTAGGTGCAGTATGGTAGGGGTACAGCTCACAAATCCTGTTTTTTGCAGTATTTTGTGCTTTTTATTTCTGTTATTTTCCTTCTGCAAGGTCATAATAAACTTAGGTTTCAGCAAACATTGTTGTACAACTGGTTTTTGAAGGATGTTTCTAAATACCTTTCTCAAATATAAACCAAATAAGATAAGGCAACAAGGTATAATTTGTTAAGAGGGAATAAAGTGGCATGCTACCTCAGTAAAGGAAAAAGAAAGGAATTGAGAATTATGAAGAGAAAGACTTGGGACAGGCTGAAAGTCACGGACAGGCCAAACTTTCAAGTGTGACCAGGAGAATTATACAATCCAGCGGAATAATAGAGAATCGATGTCTAAACCTCCCGTCAGTACAGGGAGATGGACCATTGGTCAAGAATGGTACAGGAAGATCTCTCTGCCTGAGCTGGGGGAAGCGAGAGTTTTCTTCCTGGAGATCTCAGACCCCAGGACAAATCTACAGCACCCAGGCAGGTTCCTTCTTCTGGCATAAATGAACTGAGGGCAGAAACTAGGAGACTGAGGTAAATCTGTGATCCTGGAAGGCCTAGTCCCTCCACAGACTTAGATAGAGCCCCTTCAGATTCTGAGAACCTCAACCCCCTGAAAGAAAATGCCAAATTAATGGACCACAGAGTCATTCGAGAATGGATCTTAGCCATCAAACAGGACACATAAATGATTGATCTGCAGATGCAAATTCTACCCAGGTAGCGGGATCAGGCCTCCCTTGGAGACACCTCCCGACTCAGCTCTGGAGTCGGACACACCTTGGCCTGGCTCTACTACCTGCTAGCTTGGTGACTTTCCTGTAGTTCTTTGCCTCTCTGTGCCTCAACTTCCTCATCAGTGAAATGAGACATGAACAGTAACAGCACAATGGGATGATTGTCAGGATTAAAGGAAATGATGTGTGCAAGGCACTCAGCAGACAGATGGGTACTAATGCATGCTCCATCTGCCCTTCTTCCTTCTCTATTCTGGCTTCTAGCTGGGGACACCCGTGCAGACTGGTGGGACTTTGTGTCTTCTTGTCTCTGACATGTGTAATTCATCCTGTGTCTGGAATACAAGCCCCTGAGGACTGAGACCATGTTGTATATTTGTTCAATCTCTCCAATTCCTTTTGACTTGTAGGAGAGCATTCTTGAGTCATGCAGTAGAGAGGCACTGACTCAGAGCTGTTTGTCCTAATCCCAAATGGGATCCCAGCTGGTATCCCAGCTCTCTGTGTGGACTTAGACCAGTCTCTTTCCCTCTAGAGGCCTCAGCCTTCCTAACTACAAATCCAGGATCCAGGTAACTTTTCTGGACCAGTGTCTGCCAAAGCTGGAAGCCATAGGCTAATCATCTAGGGAGCTTCTTAAAAATACTGATTTGAGGTCCACAAGCCCAGGTCTTGCTGGAGCAGAATCAGATGCCTAAGTCCCAGTCTGCAGGGCTCTCTGCTGATCTAGACACAAAGTTAGCACTCTGCAAAATCATCTGATTTATCTGATAATGATGATGGTGAGAATGATGAATTAAAGGCAGTTGACTCTTCCCAGAACCACTTACCCCCCGCTCCTGTAGATAAAGGGGGTACCAGGGCTCCATAGATGGGGCATGCTTTCAATATCAGCTTCTTAGTCAGCTTTCTGAATGTGTTATCAATTCCATTCCTCCAAGCCAAGACGTCACAACAATTGTATTTATTCTTTGGATTTGTCAGCTGTAAGATAAAAATATAGTTTAAAATTTGCTCCAAAAGAAGGCTGCTACAAACCGTGAGGCCCACACTCGTGAGGGGAACCTAGGATCCTCAAGGAGAAACATTTGACCTAAAATGTTCCAACCCAAAGCAGCAAGCTGAGAGATATTTCAAATGTGAACATTCATGCAGCTGAGGACAAGTTGAAACCAGCACTTCATATCATTGCTGATTGGTTTAGGAAAATAACCAAGATCTTAAAAATGCTCGTTCCTATGGATTCTATATAACTTAACTTCTGAGACTCTGACTTAAACGATTTATCTCAAAGAGAAAGAAAAAAGTTTTGCAAAATAGTATCCATGATGGTTTTTATTTTGATTGGGATGATGTTCTGCAAACAAATGAAGCTGCATTTTCATTTGTTCACTTTACTTACTGTCTATAAGTTATACTATTATTAAAAGGGGAACGTTTCTGACAGAGACATTAAAGCCTGTTCTGAAACCTGACTGTCACTTAAAATCCATGGAACCTCATGCAAGTTACTTGATTCTCTGAGTCTCTCATTTCCATCTGCAAAATGTGAGGGTTAAATGACTGGGGTCTGTTTGAACTACCTGGGACAGTGCCTGCCACACAGAAAGCTTTCAGTAATTGTTAGCCGTTTTTACTATCATTATTGAAACAGCCGTTTGGTAAACAATCTAAATGTTCTGCAATAATGAATGATTAAATAATGTTGTGGTCATTAAAATAATGTTTACCTTGAGTTTGCATAGCACTAGGCCGTGTTTATATTATCCTTTTAGGTAACTTAAGAGAAAAGAGTCAGGATAATGAGATTGAATGTAAATTATAAACTCAATTACATTTAGAAACCTACTAGGGAGAAAACATCGAAAGAAACACTGAGGTTGTCTCTGGGCGTGGAGACAACGGATGGTCTTTCTTTTCTTCTTTCAGCTCCGTTCTACCTTCCTGAGGAGCATAGGGGCAGAGCTCTGCATGCTTTGAAGGCAGTTTTTTTGGAAGGGTTGGCCCCGGAGCCTCAGGGCAAGGCAATTTCTCCATTTCAGGCAGTCCCGAGGGGGTAGTGAAAGCGAGGCTGAGGTAGAGACTGGGCCCTCTGTTAGCCAAGGGAGTGCAGCAGGGAGCCTGTCTAGCCACAACTACCGCAAAGTGCTAAGTTTCTGGGGCAGACAAGGGAGGGAGAGGAACCAGTGGCATGAGCCTGCTTGTCACTAACAACGCCTTTCCCTTCTCTTTGTAGCTGAACTATAAGGACTGTGAGAAGGCGGTGAAGAAGTACCACATCGATGGGGCTCGCTTCTTGGTAAGCTCTGGCCAGTCCAACACACTGAAACCAAGGCTGTTCCGCACTTCCCCCACGGCTGCAGGGCCAGCTTCTCTACCCTGTCCCTGGGGACACCCATGCTCAATGCCTGTCTTTAGAATACCCACATAGCCCTTCGCCTTCTCCAGAAATTTGGTAGGGCCCCTCTCTCCTCACCCCTCAGGATCCGACCATTGAGAACCCCTCTCTGATCTTTCACATACACTTTAAGGAGGAATCCAAGTACAGTAAAACGATAATCTGGAAACTCTATTTAAATGCCATTCCATCCTTTGAGAAGCCCGAGTGGGACAAGGACCACATGGGAGAACAGAAGCTTCTCGCTTCCCATTTCTCACTCTGGAGCACATCCTCATGAGTGGAATAAAGGGGGGCATCACCCTCATTGTTTCAGTCACTTCCTTTTTTCTCACTATCACATTCATAAATTCATAAAGCCGATTCTGTATTGAACACATGAGTGATATGGCTGTCTTCACCGTATTAGAAGCTTGAAGTCTGAGACCAAGGTGCAGGTGTGTATTAAAGACCAAGCCTTTAAAGAGAAAAGGATGCAGCTCTAATGGCGGAGACAGAGGTGCTAGGCTGCGGTCAGGGAGGTGGTTTGAGCATTTTCCTTGAAATGACACCTTTGCCCACGGGTTAAGAGAGACCCTGACTACACCGATCCATCCTTTCTGGGAACTTTGCTTTACTCTGAAAATGACATGGAAACAAGACTTCCAGTGTCTCGTGGGGGTAAGTGTTCCTAATTTAAATTCAGAGTGAGGAGAATAAGCTAAGTCGTGTCTTCCTATAAGACGTTGTCAGTAAGGGAACTCAACCATGAGACTTCAGGCCAGTTGGATGAAATCAGAAAAATCAGAGGCTCCAACTTGCCCCCAGGGAACACCAATCCATTTCTTATATTACATCTCTGCTACCAGCCTCGTCTTGAATTCCTGCAGTGATGGTGCACTCACCACCACCCACAGTCATCTGCCCCTTTCTAAGCAGCTCTCAAGTTTTATGCTAAAACTAACCTGTGCTCCTATTGGTTCAAATTTTGGTCCCAGGTGCAGTATAAGACATGTTCTTTCACTGTCCATCTAAATCATTCATTCATTTGCCTATTCATTCACTTGACTAGCAGTTTCCCGAGCTACCTTTACATACCGGAGAGCATTATAGGTGGTGGGGATAGAGAAATGGTTAAGATGTGATTTTTGCCTTCTAGAAGCTTGTGTTATTGCAGAAAGGTATGTTCAGAAATGGCTCCAACGACCTCATTTGCAGATGAGGAAACGCATGCAGAGCTGTGATGTGATTTGTTCTATGTCGCAGACCTAGTAATTGAACTAAAGCATAGGCTTAATTTAGTCTAATATCATTTGAGGTTTTAACAATATTACTGATACATGTTGAGATCTGAGTCAGTAGAATTCCTAGAGTTTTAGTGTCATTCTTGCAACTTACTGCTAAATCCAAATAGTTCGCTCTGATGCTGTTAGCACTGAGAACAGAGACTTACCACAGTCGAATGGAAAGAGAGGAAGACATATTTGAGGATGGTGCCTGCGAGGTCCTATTGCCTGGGTCACCTTGAGCAAGCACTTGCCCTCTCTGAGCCTGCCTTCCTTCCTACCATGTTGACTGAGCTCGTTGGACTGAGTCATAGTGGATGACGTCCCCTCCCGGCTCTGTGATTCCCCGCAACACTCCAGGCGTGAGTGTCAGGTCTGGTAGAACAGGGTTGTCTGAGAGATAATATCTAGACAGCTATGTTTCCTCTACTCCAATCAGTCCTCTATCAGTTCTTCAGAAAATGTGACACATTCTATTCATCGTGTGAAGAGGAGAAAGTGGAAAGTAGGGTGATAGGAACCAGAAGAAAGGAAGCAGAATCCAATGCCTGCCCAGCAACTGGGGGTTGTAAATGCAGCTTCTGTTGAAACCCCAGGTGCTCTGGGTACAGTTTGGGACTCTTTAGCTAAGCTCTAATTACTCATCTATCACTGCTTCCACCTTGGTAATATCCAGGGCCATTCTGCTATTGAAGGCAAAAGTGAAAGGCTCTAGTTTTCCTTCCTTCCTCCCTCCCTCCCTCCCTCCCTCCTTTCCTTCCTCCACTCCCTTGCCCTCTCCTCTTCCCTTACCTCCTTTCCCTTCCTTTCCCTTCCCTTTCTTCTCCCTCCCTCCTTCTTTTCCTCCTTTCTGCTCTTTCTCCCTCCTCTCTCTCTTTTTCTTTTTTCCTTCTTTCTCTTCCCTCTCTCTTTCTTTCTCTCACTCTTTCTTTCTTTCTTTGTTTCTTTCTTTCTTGCTTGCTTGCTTTGGCTGCCATTTTTGTTTTCTACTGAAGAGGATAGAATCTTATCTGGTGGAAGATGGGGGTGCTATGCTTCTAGAAGGCATAAAAAGAAGAGAAAACAAGTTAGAGACCTGTGTCAGTGGGGAAGGCATGCTATCCCATGTCACAGAAACCTGACCGCAGTGGCTTACCCAATTAAGGGTCGGTCTGTTTCAAGTAATAGGAAATGTATAGGTGAGTGCTTGGGGATGGTGAAGGAAGTTATCAAGAACCCAGGATTCATCTAACCTGTGGGAAAAAGCCTGTGGCTTCTGTCCTAATGGTTGTGAGTTGGCCACTTCGCCTCTAGCATCATTATCTCCATGGCACCCAGGGAGAAGGGGAGAAAGGCAAAGAGGAGAGGGTGTATGGTGAATGGTAAATGCATGCTCCTTTTTTTCCCAGAAAAGTAGTAACTTTTCCAGAAGCTCCATCCAGCAGACTTCAGTTATATCTTACTGTCCACAGCAGAGTCATGTGACCTCCACCATCTGCAAGGGAGTCTGGGGAGTTAGATTTTGAACAAGCACATTTACTGTGCTGAATGAAATCCAGGACCTGTCAGTGGTAAAAAAGGGAGAGTAGGTATTGGATAGGCAAGCAGCTGTGTCTGGTACATTGCCTTTCCCACCGGGCCCAGTCTGTGGCTTTCCTCTTTCTGTCCCCCTCTTCAACACCCACAGCAAATAATCATCCTCCCACAAAGCCACAAATCGTAACTCCAAAATTGTCGTCCAAGTAACCCAGAGTTTGCTCAAGGCTTTTCGAAGAGGTGGAGGATGGGATTACATAGGGTTACATCACATAGCAAAACTCTCCAAAAATTCTGTTTCAATATCTCTTATCTTTTCTCACTGTTCTTGTCCCTGTTTTGAATGTCTTCCTCTCTCCTAACACCCTGCTCCTCTGTGTCTCCAGCCATGCTCATGTCCACTTCCTCCTCCACAGTCTTCCTGAAATTCCCTCAGCTTACACCCTCCTCTCAGCAGAGCAGAAGCTGGTGGCGGTGGCCAGCTGCTCGGTGCTCAGCTGTCGCCCCTCTGGCACCCCTTAGGGAGGCTTCAACTCCTTATGCCACACTCAAAACATGAGTCTTGGTACCTCCCTGAGTGGGGGTGATTGAGGAACAGGGAGATGCTGCTGCTCAGTGATGAAAAAAAGAAAGAGAAAGAAAGGAAGGAAGGAAGAAAGAAGGAAGGAAAGAAGGAAGGAAGGGAGAGAAGAGAAAGAAAGAAGAAAGAAAGAGAAAGAAAGGGAAAAAAAGAAAGAAGAAAGAGAGAGAGAGAGAGAGAAAGGAGGAGTTAAGAAGCTTGACCAAAAGCCTGGTGCCCTCAGGACTTCTGGCTGACCCCCTTCACCAGCCCTGCCTCGGGTGGTCTGATCAGCGCCTGGATCAGAAACCGTGCTTATGAGCTGAATCAGAGGGATCCAGTGAACACATTGCAAAGATGCCCAGCCCCAGCCTCTGTGCCAGCTCAGTGACCAGATCTTTCCAATGGTCAGAGAACCTGACAAGCAGCTCCCAGTACAGACAAGGAAAAGAAGCAAAAACACTAAACTCTAAGACTCACCCAGACCCCTGCTTCTTCCTCCCCCCGGAGTAGTAATTCTTCATCTTACTCCTTCATTTCTCAGTCACACACTGTGCCAGGCACTGTGCCAAAGCACATCGCATACATCATCCTACTCAATCCTCACAACCCTGATAGGTAGGTGTCATTATCATTATTATGGTCCCCATTTTACAGATAAGGAAATTGAGGCTCAGAGAGGCAAAGTGTGTGTCCTAAATGAGACAGCTGCTAAGTGAATGAACCAAGATTCAAACCCAGCCCATCTGATTCCAGAGCTCCCATCCTAACCACACAGCCCCCTAGCCTTAACTAGAATGATGGTGGAGCCCTTTGTTGGCTCATCATTGGTTCTATGGAAAGCGTGCCCAGTTTCTTTTCTATTCCCAATTCTGACATGCGCACCTCTCCTCCTCCCTTCCAGATGCCTCCTTTCACCCTTCCCTCCATCCTCCCTTCTAACAGACCACGGGGGCCCTCAAAAGGATCAGACATGGCAGGATGGAGGTTTGCAGGAAGAAAGTAGACTGTGGACGCCATGGAGTGGAGTTTCAGCCCCAGCTCATACCCCACAAGCAGAAATCCCCTTGATATCCCAAGCCTCGGCTTTCTTACATGCAAAATGGGAATGCTGGTAACTCCTGCATCACAGAGTTGATGTGAGGATTCACTAAGGTGTTAAGAGATGGAGGCCCAGAGTTAGTTCTTGGCAAATATGAATTTTTTTCTCCTCTCCTTTCCAATTCCCACAGGAAAGCCTTTTATGGTATCCCCAATATCTTGAGAATTCTACCAATAACCCTGGTGAAAGAAGTTCTCTGGGGTGTGATGTTGGTAAAAGAGCCACAGACTCCTCCAGGCTGGCTTCTTGGCAGCTGACATTGTGGAGACTGAGGAGGACCTGAGGTCTGGGCTGTAGGGAAGAAGTCACAACATGGCCAAATGCAGCCCACAAAATGAGTCATTTGGTTTCACAGATCAAGCTCTCACAGTGTTTAAGTCAAAATTATTTGCCAACATTTGGAATGCAGAGCATTTCACATAAAATCCAGGTTTAAGGATTCCCTTTGAAAAAGCAGATCCAGCAACACCAGGCCCACAGGCTTTCAGGCAAAACCCCTAGAGGCTGCCCACTTTGGGAGGGTGGGTGGGCAGGGCGTTTCTCCTCCATTTGCCACAATCCCCACCACTCCCTATATTATTTCATATATCACTCTTCCCCTCCCTCTCAGAGCCCTTTCTGTGGGTTTTAACCTGCCTGCCCTGTGTGTCTTCATTTCAGAACCTGACAGAAAATGACATCCAGAAGTTCCCCAAGCTCCGGGTGCCGTAAGTACTCCTCCAACTCTATGGGTGATTTGGGGAACAGAGGTGGGAATGGGGAGTAGTGTGAGTGGGGGCTGGGTCAGTTCTATATCACTGTTGACTTGAAATAGAAACCAAGTAGAAAGGATGAGGGCAAGGGCAGGATGTGGGGAACAGAAGTTACATGAAGAGTTGGAAAACAGAAGTCACAGATCCAGCCCAGCTGGTGACCTGGATGCTCTTGCCAAAGACAAACCCAACTTTAGTCCGTGGTTTCATTTCCTCTCTTCTCATGGGGTGCTTGGCCCTGTGAAAATTGCACCAGAGTCAAGGTTTCATCATGGCATCACCATTGACTCCGTGACGGCTTGAGTTTGCTTGACCTCCATTTCTCACACAGTAAAATGAGAGTTGAACCACATAACGGCAATGGACATGTTTATGTGTTGATACTGAGTGCTTGGGAATGGCTGCCAGGGCTGTAATGTTGAGAAGAATCCTGAGGAAAGGGAGCTGTGATCGATTATTCATGTCTGCCATGGGTGCTGAAATGGGAAGCTGCAGTATACATGTCATGCCATGCATTTTTCATCCCTCTAGTAAAGGTCTCACATACTCAAATACCTACAGGAGCCAGGCAGGTGCTATATATGTATAAAATTGGCCAGATTGAAAACACAAAGCTCTGTTGTTTTATGTTTTGTTTTATCATATTGGACAAAATAGTGGTAAATATTCTGTATAAAACAATAGTTCTCCATTATAAGAAATATAATACCACAGTTATCGTATGATGAAAAAGTAACCATCACAAAGCCTCATTGTTAGTGAAACAATAGGGAATGGTGGGGATTATGGCCAATCAGGTATCATATGCTCCATTCAGAGTGCAGCAGCTCTCAGCTCCAGCCAATGTGGATCCAACAATGTCCAGTCTTCAAACTTATCAAGAGTAACTAGAAATATGGGTTTCATATAATATATCTCAATTTTTAAACATTGGCTCAAATGTTTCAAATATTGTGAATGCCACAGTAAACACGCCTAAGGGCTGTGTATAGACTGTTCGTTAGCAGTTTTAGTTCTCTATTCTGGACATTCTATGAGGACCCTTCTCTTACTCTAAGGGTCTCAGAGCTCATCATAATAAAAGGGAAGTAGATTAAAGTAGTAGAAGTTGGGACTGTCTCATGAATAGGTAGGAATGCTGGCAGCTCAATTAAGGAGAATATTTTTAGCATGACTATCAGGTTTCCCTTGTGTGGAAGGGGGAAGGAAAAGAGAGGAATAAGGATTTGCCTTTGGTGCTGTCTATCTCCAGGGACACATGTTGTTGAAGATGGCTTGATCTTTCTAAGGATATCCTCTAACCACATGTGGCTATTTCAATTTAAATTAAATTTAAAATTCATTCTCGTGAGGCACTAGCCACATTTTAATAGCTACATATAGCTGGTGGCTACTATGCAGGAGAGTGCAGATACAGAACATTTCCATGATTGCAGAAATGTAATGCTGTAGAGATAAACCATAGTTCTTTGCAAAAGAGGGAGCTTTACACACAGGCTTCAGAATTGGTGGCTGGTGGGCCAGTCCCAGGCTGCCGATGTGTTAAGTTTGGTACCCACTGTGCTTTGAAATCAGGAAAACTTTCGCAAAATCTAGCCTCTTTAGAAACAAGTGAAAGATGTGGCAATTGAGGGCTTATATTCTACTGTAGCAACAGTCAGCTGGATCTGATGTCTGCTGCCCTATTTAGTTGAGATTTGTGCTCCCCAGTTACCATGGCCCCACCATTCCCTGAGGGATGATCCTAAGGTAGGTCAATCATTTATATCATATTATGGGAATTTTGTCTTTCTGAACATGATGAAATCAGAGGGATTAGAATTACTTTCCCACCTGAAATAACCTGGCAAAATATATGAAGCAAAAATTTTCAAGACATTGGGCATCAGACAATGAGGGATGGAAAACAAGGGCGGTGAAGCCTATGGTTGCTTGCTGCTTTGAGAATCTCCAGGCCCTGGCACAGGGGGCAGAAAACACAGTGCTGGGTCTGGTGGACGACTTCAGTTGAGGAGGCAGCAGAGAGCCCCGGAGCCTAGAGTTCGTTCAACAGGTGTCAGAGAGAAGGGAGCTGCATACAGACAGCATTCTGGAGAGCTTCAGAGGGGCCCCTCTTCAGCAGAGCGGGCACAGGACAGTCGATGCATGAAAGGAGAGACTACCTGTAGCTGGCAAAAGAACTACCCAACAGTATTGGAGGAAACAGTAGCCACTCATAGTGCTGGAGGTGGTGACAGTCTCTACCAGCCTGGCTGGAAAACCTGGAGATTCCCAGTCATTGGGTAGAGTGCCTAGAAGGATCATGCCTTAGTAGTGGGCAATAATTAGCCCGAATCTAAAAATTCTTCTGGCCCTGCCTGGAAAACCTTAAAAGTAAGACTCAGAAGAAACAAACTGCTTCTGAGTAGCTTAACTGCATCTCAGGACACAATTGGAAACTATTTATAGAAATGCAAAAATGTTCACTACCCAACCAAATAAAATTTACAACATTAGGCATCTAATAAGAGACTAACAGGCATGCAAATCAGCAGGAAAATGCAACCCACAACAAGGAGAAAAACTAAAACATCAAAACTGACCTATAACTGACACAGAGATTAGAATTAGCAGGCAAGGATAATTTTGAATGTATTTCATGTGTTTTAAAAGTTAAATTTGGACATAGAAAATTCAAAAAAAAAGACCCAAACAGAGCTTCTAGAAATCAATACTATAAAATCTGAGATTAGAAATACACTGCTTGGGATTAACAGCAGAAAGAAATAGTAGTAAACATGAAGATACAGTAATAAAAACTGTCCAAATTGAAACACACCAAGAAAAAAAATGAATTAAAACAAAACACTGAACAGAGCATCAAGGGGCCAGGCACGTTGGCTCACGCTTAAAATCTCAGCACTTTGGGAGGCTGAGGTGGGCTGATCACCTGAGGTCAGGAGTTTGAGACCAGCTGGCCAACATGGCAAAACCCCATCTCTACTAAAAATACAAAGATTAGCCAGGCGAGGTGGCGGGCATCTGTGGTCCCAGCTACTCGAAAGCCTGAGGCAGGAGAATCACTTGATCCTGGGAGGCAGAGGTTCCAGTGAGCCAAGATCATACTACTGCACTTCTGCCTGGGTGACAGAGCAAGACTCCATCTCAAAAAAAAAAAGAGCATCAAGAAACTTTGGGACAATTTCAAGGAGCCAAATATATGTCTGAAGTCCCCAAAGGAGAGGAAAGAATGTGCATGTGAGAGGGGAAGGAGAGACAAGTTAAACCCTTGAAGACACGGTGACTAAAAAGTTTTTCAAACTGGTTGAAAATTATAAACCCACAGATCCAAGAGGCTCAACAAACCCCAAATCTAAGAAACAGGAAGACAGCTAGCCCCGAGGTACATCATAACTAAATTGCTCAAACCCAACAATAAAAAGAAAATCCTAAGAGCAGTCAGAAAAAAAAGGACATATTACACACAGAGAAGCAAATACACGAATCACAGCAGGTTTCTCGAAAGCAAAATAGTAAAAGAAAAATATTGTCAATCTAGACTTCGATACTAGGCAAAAGTATCTTTCAAAAATGAAGATGAAATGAAGACTTTTTCAGACACACAAAATCTGAAATGTACTACCACAGATGCCTTTTAAAAGTCCTTCAAGCAGAAAGGAAATGATACCAGATGTTAACCTGGATGTGTGCACAGGAACGAAGAGTACCAGAAATGGTAACTATGTAGGTCTATGTATGTACATGGCCCTTGAGGGCATTTGAGTTTGCATCTTATGGTCTCTATAGAAAATTCATAGTTCAATAATACTTTATTCATTGAGTGAACTGGTACTAAGTAACTACAATGTGCCAGACCTTTGTTAAAATCACTCAGGCTACAAAGATATGGGACAGAATCTTCATTCTCAGGACACTCGCATTATAAAGGGAGGAGAGACAGACAAGCAAAGCAATTATACTGCAATTACAACAGTGCAATCACGCACGCATGCCCAGGTTCAAGGGCTCATAGGAAGCCAGGAGTAATTTTCCCACAGTATTCAGGGCAGACGAGGGAGGAAGGGACCCAAATTAAATCTTGAAATAGGAAGGATGGATTGTAGGACATTCTAGAAATGGGAAGATATTACAGAGGCACCAGCCAGGGTGCCTGGTGGAACGGCCAGTGTGGCAGAGCGGCTGGGGCATACACCTGGGGGAGTGGAAAGCAAAGAGGCTGAAGTGACTGGTTAGGGGTGTGTGCCACAACTTATAAAGGTCCCGTGAGCCATTCTCAGGAGCCAGAGAGTGTGAGTGCAGTGAGCATCAAGGTAAATTTGTGTCTTATCTCTGTCCAGGGCGTGTAAGTGATCATTTGAAGGAGAGCCCAGCTGGGGACATGGGACCAAGTTAGTTCGTGATGACCAAGATCCCACTAATAAGCTAGGAGCTTTTCCTAGGGCTGCATCTGTGAAGATGGGGGATGGAGGATACTGAATCAGAACAGTGGAAGGACAGAGATAAAGAAGGCACTTCCATCTTGCAAGACTCTTTTTCACCTTAAGGCTGAGTTCAGCTGCTGTGTTCTGGCTTTTTTGAGAGCCTGGATAAGGTGGTAGGGGTTGATTCTCCGTGAAAGGGAGAATTATAAACATGTTGTGAATGGGCTGGGGTGGGATATTTCTTTAGCTCTCTGAAAACTGAAAGAAAAACTTGGTCTGTGGTGTAATCCCCTCCTCCAATGTGTTTGAACGTGCTCCATAGAAAAACTATGAGGCCTGCCCATAGAACATGAAGGGTTAGTATAGAGAATGACAGACAAGATATGAAGGGAAGGTCCAGGCTGCCCTGACACGGTGACTTAGAGAACCACTGTCCCTCTTGGCAGAAATGTATAACAAAGACCGATTCCAGCTCTACTTCCAATGAGCTTTGTGACCTGGGACACATCCCTAGACCACCCTCAGCTTCCTAAA